TGCAAGCTTCGAGGCAGAATGAGGGGCTGAAAAAGAGAAAAGAAGCTGATGTCGAGGCACGGTACCCACTGTGAAAAACAGCACGGAGCGAGTCGCAATTCGGTCCCCGTGGAGGGGAGTGGGTCGTAAGTGCTCGCGAGAAAATTCTTCCTGATAGTTCCTCACCCTCCTTGGCCACGCCGTTGAGCCATTACTTAATCACTAATTGGTATGATGTGACAGTTGTTTTCGGAGATGATCTCCCTCCCCCTTGTCGATACAATTTTGGGAAAACACGTTGTGAGGGGGTCGTACAGAAGAGCTGACTTCTAAGGGAGGGGGTTGTATTTATTCACAACACGATGCTGTACCCTGGCTGCCACGGCTATAAACAGGTCCGGCTATCGTTATTCAGTGAGATCTCTCTTGAAAAATAGCGTCTGAGCGACTGCTTCTTCGTTCACACTTTGCGATTTTTGAGGAAACAGATGTCCTTGCCACTTCATCCATACCAGCAACGGCTCCGAATCCACACTCTATCGCCAGTGCCGCAGACTAGCATAGCCATCAGGGCACGTAGTACGTTAAAGATCCCCTTTCCGAAGAGTTGGGAGAAGGAGGGTAGTATTTGCCTTGATGAAAAAAATGTTTTCGTGACTTTTTTCGGTCTCGGTTCGCTTTTTTTCCGTTTCACGTGCGCTATGTACCTCTCCCCCGCTCGATGGACGGCAGTTTTTCAGGGAAAACTTCGAGAGAAGGCTACCTTCCGAGAGAAGAGAGGGGTTTCGGAGAGTCTTGTAAGAGGATAGATAGAATGGCGGATCAGGAAAGAGGTTGTGAGGAAATTTTGAGAGGGGTTCTACCAGAGGAGGAAATCTCCAGGAGGGGGTCGTACGAGAGGAAGAAATTTTCAGAGTTCGACGAGAAAGGTAGGAGTTTTGGAGAATCTTGTTAAGAGCGGTAGATTAGAAATGTGCGGATGGAAAGAAGGGGGTTTGTATTACAGGAGGAAATTTTGAGTAATTTCTACCCGCTCGTAAACCAGGAGCGGGGTCGATACGAAAGGGATAAAATTTTCAGAGGTAATCTCTTCATTGAAAGTAGTAGTTTCGAGCGGCGGATTTAGGATCGGAAATTTCTCAGTTGGTCCGCGACTTGAATTTGGCGGAGGGAGGGGGCGGAAGTGTTCTGGGTAAATTTTTCACCAACGCGACGTGCCCCAATAGTCACTGGTTTCCGATTCCCATGACACTTTTGACCATAGAATCAATCAAGTGATAAAAGTCAAATCGTAGGAGAGGTTTACGTGTAGCAACCCCCCTTGTTCGTTTCTTTTTTGCTACTCCATTTTTATCTCTCCCGCACGCGTCTGGGAGTGCAAGGCAGCCCTTAACCTTGGCTCTTTTATCAAGTGGTGCCAGTTGTTCAACACACGTGCCGATGCCAACTCACGTGGACAGACAGAAAAAATCTTGCACGCTGTACAGCCAGTCAGTCTACTGTACTTTGTGAAAACGTCGTTTTGCGAAATAGACGTCTGTAGGGATGACTTGCTCATTGTTACTGTGAGTCACAACTTTGCGGTCGTGCCCACTCCCCCTCCTTTAACCTCCGCCTTTGTGGACACAAAGTCCTTCTTCGAGCCCTTTGAGACGTTATTCGAGTTGTTTTTCAGCACTTGAAAATAAACAGGTTTGATGGCAGCCGTGCGACTTCCAGTCATTTCTCGCTGACTGCCTCCGCCTGCAACACTGTCGTGCTATCGTTTGTCCCTGTAGAGAAACTTCTCTCTGCCATTTCTCAGGCTTACCACCTCTTCTTCCTCATTAACATCGTCTCCATCTCAACTGGGTGCAGTTCGATTTGGAGGGGGCATTTTGCACTTTCGCTGTTCTCATCGTCTTATTCGTCGCTTTACAATACTTGACAGGTATTTCTTTACAAGACTTGAAAAGTATTCTCAACAATTCTTGACTGTTCATAACATTACATGTTTTCACTTGATGGCTCGATTTGACGATGGGAAGCAGCGAAAAAGTAAAATGCCCTTCCCAAGCCTAACTTCACTCTCACTTGCAGTCAGCTTTTCCTTCGATTTGGGCGCTCGATTTCGGCGCCTGGCAGCCCATGAAGTCAAGTTGTTTTGCGTAGCAGAGGTAGATATAGTGGATTTAATAATACTTGTTGATCTGTCGGGTAGTGTTTTCCTCGACGATAGTATTTTCCTGAAGTACAAAAGCCGAGACTAATTATTATAAAACATTTATAAAACATGTGGCGTTGATCGGCTTGGAGGGGGTGGCATTTTGCACTTTTGCTATTTACTTTTGTTAGTTCACTTTACTCAGCAGGATGAATCACGCCAGTGGGACCTGCAAACTCCTGTGAAGTTATGAAATGCTGTAAATGAGATACTTTAGTTACAGGAATTTGCAAGTCTTTACAAGGTGGCTTGTACAAGTTCCATTGTCAGGGCACGTTCCTGTCGCTAGGCGAAATTTCCAGAAATTGCGACTCCCCCCCCCCCAAGTCCTTCATCTCATAAGACCCCCTTCCCCTTCCTGCCTTCCACTTTCCTAAATTTCCCCAACTTTTTCCAGGATTTCCGGAATTTCCCGAATATTTCCAAAATTTTCTAGTTTTCCCCGAAATTTTGTTGTGGAGGCGCGAGGATGGAGGGAGGGGGGGGGGAGGTCGTCAGTAACCAACTACTAGTTTCACCTGTGTGATAGTACTTGTGTAGAACTTAGGCGGCACCACCAACTACGGAAGGGGTGGGGGCAAATACGGGGCGAAATACGACCGCCTCCTTCTTCCAACAAGCAAATACCACCCTCTCCCTTATAGCGTCCATGAAACAACAAAAATCAACTTTCAAAAAATTTTTCTCAGACTCAATACGACCCCCCCGATTCAGATACGATCCCCTCCTGGAGATATAATGTACTAAAAACTATAAAGTATTTTTCTTCCATATAATACTTTGGTGAAAAATAACATAAATCCACAATGAAATACTGGGGTAAATGCTTTTATCGAAACAAATTTACTCATGATTTTTAAAGTAGTAAAATAATATTATTGATTCCCCAAGGTACGACGTACCTTGTTCACTGAGCACTATTTAGTTTAGCCAAAACAAATCAAACGGTGCCACTACCAAGCCGTACTGCGCCCAAAATTGCTCTAACAGAGGGCCTCAAAAGAGGTTCAGCGCGTTCTCTACACCCTTTTCCTTTCAAGTTTCGCCAGTGGTCACCCCGACAACACCTATCCTCCCTGGCCATCAGATGAGTGAAGAAGTGGCCGAAGTACTTACAGCAGTGCTAGGCGAATAACAGGATGCGATGTGCCCGGGGCGGTCAGATGCCCTTACCAGCCCATACGCATGAGTGTTGTGCGTGTGCGTGTTTGTTATTGCGGCTCGCTCTGCATTAAAACCGGAGATCACTCGCCGCGGCTCGCGCGTACGCCGCAGTTCCGAAAGGGAAAAGGAGTGGGACTGTGGGCAAGGGCATGTTTACGCGCCCATGTGATTTTGTCGTGCGTGGCCAACGCCATGGCCGTCACCGAAGTCCACGCCCATCAGGAAACCTCCCTCCAGTCCATCGGCAACTTCGTGAGGCGTTCTGTTTTGCCTCTGCTTCGTCCATTCTTCATTCCTCACTTGTCACATTTAACAGCCCCCAGCTATGAGCCTTTCAATTCCTTAAAGTTTCTCTGAGAACTTTTACACTTTGTACTTTGCACCTACGAAAGTACGCCTGGCATAAGAGTTCTCCAGCTCTCTACGCTCCGCCTCTTTCTGAAAGACTTTAAAAAATCGTATTCATTGAGGCTGTTCAGGATAAAGGTGGACTTTTTAGAGGTATGTCCTTGTCTCAGCCCTCCCGTTCTGCCCCCTCACTCTTCAAGCGCCATGACTAACAGTGTCTCATTTTTCACAGACGTCATCACAGTCCCTCTCGTTGCACTAAGCTTTTTAGGATGGTTCGAGCTAATCGGTTGGAAACTGTTGCATACGTGAATTGTCTAGAATTCCTACGTGTGTTCTTTTCACAGTCACTCATTCCACACAAGGACACCCCCATAAGAACCACGACAGAACGCCCATAGCAGCCGACCATAGTAGCATTTCTTTCTAGCACTGACGTTCGTTCTAGTCGGGCCGGGCCGAGCGCAGCGCACTTTGCAGCAGCCAGCCAATCCACGGACGGGCCTGCATGATGAAACTGAATGTTTTTGTCCCACACCATTGTTATTGTCAGCCAGCCAGTTAGCCAGCCACACGATAGAGTCGAGTTGGAGAGGACTTTGTTAAGAGGGAGACTGTACTACTTGATACGACCTTCTTATTTTTGCATACCGTCACTACTGCTGCTGGACTCCAAAAGGGAAAAACATCGATCACATGTGTCTTCTCTCCCATGTGGGCGGTGCTTGCGTATTACTCATAACGTCATGTTTTTCACAGTCGCTCTCCATTAGTTGCATTTTCCGTGAGGGATTGAACGTGTGTGTGTGTGGCGCCTGATCCCACGACAGCCTCCTCCTAGCCCTCAGCTGCCCATCAACCGTCTAGTGTTCTTTTGCCTGCGCGATGTTTTTGCCATCACTTATAACCACCACAATGAAGCTGAACTGGCTCCTGCTGCATCTCGTCTCCGGGGAATCTGTCGCAATCTGCCCCCGTCAAGTCAAAATCTTAGCAGCTTCGAAACACACACACACACTTCATTTCGTTGTGTTCGTCGTTAACTGGGTGCACTTCAATCGTCTGTCAATGTCCTAAAAGGTCACTGTTTTCCGCACTTTCCGCTATGTCGGCGCTGCTGTACTTCTCTACAGCCACGCCCACCACATCGGGGGAAACGTATGTCCATTGCCCAGCATTTTTCGCATGTACTCGCACATTCACTTCTCGCTCTCTCTGCTCAGTCAGTCATCTATCTGCACCGTACATTCGCTCGCTCTCGGTGGTTTTCCTTAACCCTTCCCTAATAATTCCCAGATTTTCAGAGATGAATAACGAAGGCACACCTGCCACAACCATAGCACCCACATTAGATTTACAAGCACTGCTTGCTACCATGCCAGATTTCTCTAAAATGTCATCATTCTCTAATATGGTGAGTACTTTTATAAGCCCCTAGAAAAGCTGAATTTAAATCGATTCGTTTTAGCCAAAGAGTAACTCGAGCGCGGATATTCCGACGTCGCAGCAGCAGCAGTCGTTGTTGTTTCCGTCAATTCCAAGCGATCAGCTTGCTGCCCTTTCTCTGGGCATATTCCCACTTCATGGATTTCCTATGTTCCCCCTACTGCCAATGACTCCCATGACATCCACACTTCCTCCTCATTCCACAATTGAAAGCCTGGGATTGATGACAAGCAATGTGAGTTGTTGATTCTGAAGGAACTTCCTTCATTTGTGAGATGCCCCTCTCATGTGGCAATTTTTCAGAATTTACGTCAAACCACATCAACAGCAATGGGTCCCCCAGCGCTCGATTCACGACCGAGAGCATTCTCAAGCGCTGCTGCACTCCAGCGACCTAAGGTAGGCCGTGGCCGTGTTTTGTCGCAATATGAAAGTACAAAGTGGGAAATGAGTCAGCCCAGAGCGCTCAGTCGTTTCTGGTCCAGGGGTATGTAAACAGAAAGGACACAGTAACTGTGTGTCGCGTCGCATTGCCGGGCACACAAAACAGTCTATATATCAGTTTCCATTTACTTTCCTTTTTTTGTTAAATGAATAGCTTTACCCGATGAGGATATCCTTTCAAGGCCTGCAGTCACCACCTGACTAAAGGCGGCAAACGCGTCACGAAAAAGCACAGGAGGAACAGTCAAGTGTATTGAGGATGCTCGTTGACGAAGAGGACGACGCTCCAATCAAACTCCGCCAGCCGCCGTCAACAAAAGACCTCGACGAGAAGCTGCGGAAGGACGCCGCTAAAGGTGAGACGTTCTCCGCGCTAACGTTGAGGCTCTTTTAAAAGTCTTGCTATCGCTCGGTTTGCCTATATCCCCTCTTAGCTTCAGTGCTGAGCGCAAGCAGTCCGTCGCCACCGGCGGCTAAACGAGCTTCACCGGAACGACTGGCAGATCTGATCGAGGAACCAGCGATCGCCCTCAGGCGAATCATCCGCGACGAGGATCTGCCCGACTCGATTGGGCCCGACTCACCATTCCGTCATCATCCCAAATATCAGGTTGGTTAAACTCGCTTATGCGCCAAAGGACAGTTCGGCGACGAGGGGGAGGGGGCATTTTGCCACTTCGCACTTCCTTTATTGACGTTTCGAAGCTATCTAGGGAGCCTATTTCATGAGCCGTTTCTATGAGTTAAACAGTTGTATCGTAGTGACGAAGCTTCAACACACAGGTTTCGCCAAAGTGAGACCTGTAAACCGGAAGTGCAAAATGCCCCCCTCCCGTTGCCGAACTGGGCCTGCGCAAATATTATTTAGTAAATTTGCCTTCGTGATGTGGGTTTTCCCTTCAGACGCAGTCGCACAGTTGCAAAATGTTTCGCCATGCCTACACAACCATTGCCCCTTTCGGTGTGATAAGAAGGGGCGTTATCATCAAGACCTAACGGGAAGCGAGTGCAAAAGGGCTGTGCACTTACTATAGTGGCAAAACTGTGAAGGATTGAGCGATCCTAATCTGGACTCTCCAGTTTTTCAGCGTAAGCCATCGGATTCTGAGATGATGGACGGTATGGATGCATTGATGGCATTCTCCAGCATGACCGGTTATGCAGCGGAATCGTCTGAACCCACACCGTCACCAAAGACTTCTAACGACTCTAGTGGTGGCGGCTATACCAACGCGGGTTCACCAAAGAAATCATTTGCCGAGATGATGGAGCATGCCATCTGTCGTGAGCTTGTCACGGCCGAATAGATTTTCGCAGCCAGTTTGTCTACTAGTTATGTTTAGAGTAAACCAAAAGGTGCATGTGTAGGTGTCTCGAGCATCCACTTGTCCTTCTCAGTGTCCTTACACATGGTCATTAGTATTGAGCTTGTTTAATTATGACCAATCAATTATTGACATTCCAAGCCCCCCCCCATTTCTCCTCTAGAAAGTCTCCCTTTCCGGCACCGCCGTGTTGCTGAATGAGTCTCAAGATTTCAGGAACTATTTATGGATATCTTCTATTCTCTCACATGTATAACCACACATAATTCCACATGCGAATCATATATTGTGAACGCTTTAATCTGTTGTGTTTTCCTTTTTTTGTTTTTATTTTATTTCAAGTATATTACTTGGGATATTCCTATCGTCACATCGGTTTTTGTCCGATATCCTCCACTTGCCATTGGTCGATGCGAACTGTATAAATTGTGTGTACAGCCGCGATTTTTGCGAAAAGTCTGACTTCAAGTCGTTACTTGTTATGGAAATTAGCTAGCTTAAACATTGGTGCGAGAAAAGCGGGTGTGAGGGGGGGGGAGAATTTTGTACATTTGCCTGCTTCAACTGGAGTTCCGGTTTACAGAATTCACTTTGTGAAACCTGTGAACTCTTGTGAGGTTGGAGTAAGCTCCTCGCCACTACTATTTAATTACTTGACAAGATTTGACAGGTATTGTATACAAGAGCTGACAGATGGGTGGAAGTAGCAGCTGAAAAATACCCCTTCCCCCCACTGTCGCGAACAGCACACCCTCGCTAACAATGAGCGCTTATATAATTTGGTCTTTGGCCTTACCCAGGTATTCTGCCTCAAGATCCGACTTAATCTCCCTCCCTCACCCCGATGGAACACCTGTATGAGGTGTGATTACGAAACAACATCCCATAGGTGGAGCCAGGGAGCGGCATCAACATTTGGTTAGTGGACAAGCGGGGGGGTATAGGTCTTTTGCCTTCAAGAATAATGTTTTCGTGACTTTTCTTGCTTTTCTATGGGTTGGTATAACTCATTGGAAAATTTATGTAGCTGGTAGGAGGGATTGGGGAGGGTTACGCAAACTGGAGGCGAAAAACTTGATAGGAGGGGGGGGTGGTCAGCAAAAGCTTCCCTCCCAGCGGCAAGACGTGATCTGGTGCTGTTGATTGGGAACGCTCTATCTGATTACCTTTCCGAGACGGTTACCCAGGCTTGTTTACATGCACCAAAAAGGTAGCTGTCATGTCCCACAGCTGCACAAGTAATGTCAAGGAAGTAGTACTCTGGCAAATAAGAATACAAATGTTTTTGTGGACGCAGCAGTAGAGATTCGGAGCAGGGAGGGGCACTGAGTGGTTCCTGTGAACACTGGCCGCCTTGTAAAGACCTGTTAACTTCTGTAAGCAAAGTGGCTCTCTTGCAAAAAGGGCTCGTACTAGAGTTTACAGGTGTCACCAATGTTATTATAATTAACATAACCAACACGAAGGAAACTGGCAGAGGCTGCAAAATGTCCCCTTATAAACCGAACGGACGAGTTTTTACTCCATTCTGGAGGGGCTACAAGAAAGCTTACCTGAAGGTCTACTTGGGAGTGACTATGAGTGTTTAAGCTCGACAGCAGCCGGGATTTTATGGCGATTTCGTCACTTGCGTTGAAGAATGAATTGTAGTCACGACAAATAATACTAGTAGAATCTCATGCAAAAACAACGAAAAGAGTCACCATTCTATGCGGTTCAGTTCTGGAGAAGGTACTGGGACAGGCACAGTTTGGTTTGGTGGGGGCACCCAATGAAACAGAGCTAGGCTTGTACAGGCCACCTTGTAAAAACCTGTGAATTTCTGTGATCAAAACGGCTCACTCCAATATTTTCGCGGCTTCACAGGAGTTTACAGCCCCTCCAAGGCGAACAGCACCTAGTGGATCTGCGGCTAAGCATGGGTGTTGTGAGAAGAGCTCATGCCCAAGTGATCTTCAAAGCAACTCTATGTTCCATGTTTTTCACTAAATTACCACGTTCGCTCGATACTGACCTACGGGCTGAAGTCTCAATTGATGGGAATCTACTGGGAGGATGTACTGGATAGTACAAGTGGGGTATTACCACTACCGTACCACCACAACACATCGATTCCTAAAGCCCTTTTTGTTTTCCAGTCTTGCTAGCGCTCGCTTTCTCTAACCTCCTCCTTTACCATGGCCACTGATGTGAAGGAGCACTTTGCCGGGGAGGCAAGCATACCGACAGAACGATAACAGAGGGATCGAGTAAGTTAAACAGAGCGCTAAATGGTAACTTTCATTTCAAAAAGACGATTAAGTTCGGAGGGAGAGGGGGAAAAGGTAGGCGGAAAGAGGCCAAAATAGTCCGAAACTTCGCGTGGAACATCGGGAAAAAAAAAGCCTGGCAGAAAAGAAAAAGAGGCAGCTTCCTACTTGGAAGATTTCGTTCAGGCCACGCGTCCTGCTATTGGGGAGGAAAACTTGCAAACTACGACCCCCTGCCCCCACCCTTCCGTAAGATGCGTAAGTACGTTGCAGAAGGTAATTGAGACACCCCTTACACCCGCTCGAATAACTCGATGGGAGAACAGGTGCTACAGGTAACCCCTTCCAACTTTCTTATTCTGATACAGCCCCCCCCCCCCCCCATCCTCTTCTATAACGAAACTCCACCCTCCAAATTTTCCTATTCTGATAAGGTTCCTCTACCCATCCCCTATCCTACCTACCACCATTCTAATTCCTCCTACTCCCTACTACTTTCGAAGAGTTTTTCCAAAAACCCCTCCACTTTTCCTCAGAAAAATCTGCCGTCGAGGAGGAGATAGTGTATATGACAGGAGAAATCGAGAAGACTCATCAACCGAGAATATTTTTCCCAAAGACGAAGGCCGACCTCTGTCCTCCCCTCCCCACCCCAGCGACCAAATACGCAACCTTTTAAAATCCCCAACGTACGCGCTTCCCAGAGATGCTATTGCCGTCTCTAACAGGAAGGGAAAGGATAAATACTTTGCCCTGCTTGCACTGGCATGAACGCCTGAATTAAAACCTCCCCTACAACGGCAGTTGCATAACCTGTTTAGGCGCAGTCCCCTCTGGGACGGGAAGGGGGGGGGGCATGTTGCAGTTTCGCTGGTTCAGGTTTTGGTTTGCAGGTCTCATTCTGTGAAACCAGTAAACTTTTGTGAAGCGCGAGCAAACTTGTTGAACCACCACGTTCGTAAGCTCATGAAATACCTCTCTCGATGGCTCCACGAAGTAGCAAAAGTGCAAAATGCCCCCCATCGCCGAGCTGCGCCGTTACTTATTTAACAGTAACTTCTTTATGGCTATGTTCGTTTTCTGTAGGTTGTTGTCGTGACTGAGAATCTCCTCTGGGCTTCAGCAATAGGAAACGAAAAGCACGTCGCCCGTCAACGAGCCCCGCGGCATGCACTTGTTAATAGGGAATGACGTTGCGCCAGAGTTCAAGTGCACAGCTTCGTTATTTAATTGTTCAAATGTGCAAAAACCCGAGCCAGGGCTATCCACAAGAACTGAGCAAAATCTCATTGTTCGTGCATATTAGTGCATTCGCACTTTACCGTTTGACGTTTATTTACCAATGCTATAATCGGCGGCTGCCGCCGTCAATTCAAGTGCCACTCTCGCCAAGCGCACAAAGTCCTCGTGCGTCGTGGCTGAGAAAACAGCCAACAGGGGGGCCCAAAGCCCCCAGCAGGGGGGGGGCCGGGGTCGTCACCGGTCCGAGTTTTTTGCACAAAACGCGCGCAATTTCGAAACAATTTCCGTGCCGAACGTGAAGAGTGCACTTTGTTGTGACGACTACAAGAAATGCTTAGGTAATTCAGTCAGTGACGACCAACAGCGAAACGGGTTTCTACCATGAATTATCTGAAGAAAAAGCGTCGTCTCGGCCGCAACGCAGTAGCGGGCATGCACAGC